GAGGTAATTTTTTGGGACTGTCTCCTCTAATATGCCCGCCAAAGAGTGCCGAGATCAGCTAGCAACAACTTGCTGGTGATCCCTAGCCCTAAGGAGGTCCAGCTGTCCCCAACTTGGTGGAACTCTCTGCCGAATGACAATTTGGCCCTGTGGGATCTGATTGAATTCCGTAGGGCCTGTAAGGCAGAGATGTTCCACCAGGCTTTTAGTTGAGGACAGCAATGGGAGGTTAAGACTGGCACCCTTCCTTTCCTTCCTATTACTCCCACATACCCTTCCCCACCCTGCTGTGTGGGACAGCGGTGTGGTTGGTAAAGGGGGATTATTATATCACTATCTTGGATCAGTTTTAAATTAGTATATACAGGCCAGACGACCCGCGAAACTCGCGGGGGGGCGGAGTGGGGCGGCGGAGCTCTGCATTTAGCCAGCGGAGGAGTCAGGAGCAGGTAATGTTCCCCCCCATCCCGCCGGTTCCTCCGTATCGCCCCCCCGCTCGATCTCCCCTCACCCGCCTCCTCACCCGGCTGGAAAGCGAGGCCCGCACGGTTTGGAGCCGCCGGGCCTCGGCGCTTTCCCCCCGGCCCTCGTCCCCTGCTCCCCGGCTGGAGAGTGAGGCCTGCGCGGCTTGGAGCCGCCCGGCCCTTGGGCAGTTTCGGGGGGATTTAAGTATCCCCCCGATTTTTTTTGAAGTTTTCGGATTTTTGTGCAGACGTGGGGACCTCCCCACGTGCGCACAAACATCTCCCTCCCCTCCCCAGGTGCCCCCGGTGCGCGGATTTAAGCATCCGCACACAGGGGGCACACTTGAGAATTAGATATATAGATATATACTGATTGTATTTTAAATGTTTTTATAATTGCTGTAAACCACCCAGAGCCTGCTTGCAGGGTGTGCAATTCATAAATTTAATGAAATATATACATACACAGATACAGGTTGGTGAAGGACTGCTAATACGTGTGTGAGTGTGCGCATGCACATGTGTGTAATCCTGAAGCAAGCAGGTTCATAACTGAAATGTTAATTGTCCAATATGGATAAACTTTGGTAGCCAATGATTCCTACTTCCATGGCTCTCCCTGTCTCTCTCTGGTGCAGTGATTAAATCTGTGTGGAACCTAATCTGGGAGAGCCGGGTTTGATTTCCCCACTCCTCCACTTGCAGCTGCTGGATGACCTTGGGCAAGCCATAGTTCTGTCAGAGCTGTTCTTGAAAGAGCATTTTCTGTCAGAGCTCTTTCAGCCCCACCCACCTCACAGGGTGTCTGTTGTGGGGAGGGGAAGGATGCCGAGTGAAGGGCGGGGTATAAATCCAATCTCTTCTACTTCTTCTCTTCTCTTTTATTGTGGGCAGTAGCAGTTAGCATTTACAAGTACAATTCCTCCGATACCTCTCAGATAAAAACAGGGCCTATGAACAGGGTTTCCAACTCCAGGTTGGGAAATTCCTAGAGATTTGGGGGTGGAGCCTGCGGAGGACAAGCTTTGGGGAGAGGAAGGACTTCAACCAGGTCTAAGGCCACTGAGTACACCTTTCAAAGCAGCCATTTTCTGCAGAGGTACTGATCTCTCATCTGGAGATCACTTGTCAGTTGTCATTCTGGGAGATCTCCCGGCCCCACCTGGAGGCTGGCTACCGTATCAGGGAGCAGTGCTTGAAGAGTTGTCAATTCAGTCCTGGGCAATTCCTGGGGATTTGGGGGGTGGTGCTTGCAGAGAGTGGAGTTTGGGAGGATGCTCAGCGGTGGGGTTATGTGATGCCATAGAGTCCTCCCTCTGAAGCTGCCCTTTCCTTCAGTGAAACTGATCGAATGATAAAAGGGTTGGAACACTTTCCCTATGAGGAAAGGTTAAAGCTCTTAGGGCTCTTTAGCTTGGAGAAACGACGACTGAGGGGTGACATGATTGAGGTTTATAAGATTATGCATGGGATAGAACAGGTAGAGAAAGAGGTACTTTTCTCCCTTTCTCACAATACAAGAACTCGCGGGCACTCCATGAAATTGCTGAGCGGTCAGGTTAGAACGGATAAAAGGAAGTCCTTCTTCACCCAAAGAGTGATTAACACTTGGAATTCACTGCCACAGGAAGTGGTGGCGGCTACAAGCATGGACGGCTTCAAAAGGGAATTAGATAAGCATATGGAGCAGAGGTCCATCAGTGGCTATTAGCCACAAGGTATAGATAGGGGCTCTGGGGCAAGTGATGCTCTGTCTTCTTGGTGCGGGGGGGGGTTAACAGTGGGAGGGCTTCTAATGTCCTGGCCCCACTGGTGGACCTCCTGATGGCACCTGGTATTTCTGGCCACTGTGTGATACAGAGTGTTGGACTGGATGGGCCTTTGGCCTGACCCAACATTGGCATCTCTTATGTTCTTATGTTCTTATCTCTGTAGTCTGGAGATTGGTCATAATTTTGTGAGAACTCTAGGCTGTACCTCCCGGTTGGCAACCCTACCCCCTCCATTACATGTAGCTGAAGGCTAAACTCCATCTATAGTATGTTAATTTATTCATTTTCTCTGCCATATCCTTTCCTACACAAAACAGAGTGTTTATTCTTTTAGCTAAAGTCAGAATACAATTGTCTTGCAATTGGTTATCTATAGTCCATCGAGATTGGGGGGATTCAAAGAGCAGTAGGGGTGGTGGTGATAAGGGACATCACTTCTAGGTGATTATACGGCTACATCAGTAATGCCCCCTGCTGGAATATGCAAGGTCTATAGTGCAGCCTTAGGAAGAAGATCTAAAGATCAGCCTACAGGGGGACAGCTGTAGGACTGGTGACTAGCACAGCAAGATTAGGGATTGCCCACAGTTTCAAATTATGCCGTTCCTCTCTCCTGATTGGCTCTTCTGGAGACTTCCTGCTCCTGTAGAGCTCCCTGTTTCTTGTTGTTCCTCCAGTTAGGTTAGACAGTTAAGGTTCTCTCTCTTCTATGTTCTATAACAGTTTGTTCTTCTTTAATAAACCAACTTGTTTTTCTCTGATTTTCTCTGAGTAGTCAGTGCTCCACTTCCGTGCATATTTAAACTCTGCCAACACTCCCCTCCCATTCTCTGCCCCCCCAACTTCTTCCACCCTTCAAAAAGTGCACGGCTAGTAACCCTGTTAGGAGGACCAACACATTGTGAGTAGCAGCCTGCTTGTGGCTACTTGGGAAAAGGTGAAAGCTCAGTTTAATAAGATCATGGCCCCTGAGGATGAGGAAGAAGAAAGCTCTAGATCACTAGGCCTGAACATGAGGCGCATATGAAGTTGTATTTGGGCAGGGAACAATCCTTCTGCAAACTCTTTTCCGGTGCACCATGTTTTCTCATACATTTGAAGTGCAACATTGGGCAGGGCAGCACCACATTGATGCAGACTTTCCCCCCCAGTGGCACCTGGGGGGGGGCATGACCCATCTTTAGGGGAGGGGTGGCCAGCAGCCTTGCCCAAGTTGCAGCGGGCGGCCTGAACTCTCCCTGGAAGCTAAGATGTCTAAAACTGGGTTATCATGTTTTAGTCATATTATGAGAAGATAAAACTCACTGTAAAAGATGATAATGTTAGGAAAAGTTGGAAGGCAGCAGGAAAAGAGGAAGACCCGACATGAGATGGACTGACTCAGCGAAGGAAGCCACAGCCCTCGGCTTGCAAGACCTGAGCAAGGCAGTTAATGGTAGGATGTTTGGCAGGTCATTAATTCATAGGGTCGCCATAGGTCAGAAACGACTTGATGGCTCTTAAAACACCCCCACACAGTGGTAGTTCCCTGACCCCGCCTTTGTCCCAAGGCTGACTTGAACCTTTGTATCACAAAAAGACAGGAATCAGGAACCAAAAAGGTTAGTTATAAACTAATATAGGGCCAATTACTAAAAACTCTAGGTTTAGCCTAAATATTATCAAAAATAGATTCCCCCTCCCAAAATGGTTAAAAACATTTATGGGCCCACCTTAGGGTTGCCAAATCCGTCTTCGCCGGGAGCGGGGGGCTCCCGGACGGCATCGGGGTTCTGCGCGCCGCGTACACGTCACCCAGAAGTGACGTAGGCATGCTGGGGGCGGGGCCATGGCCATACAAGGGGAACCCCCAGTGTGCCCGGCGTGCCCACGTCACTTGCTAGTGACGCGCACGCCGGGGGCGGGGTTCCCCCGGGCCCTGATTCCGCCGCGTCGGAAATCAGGGCTTCAAAGTGGGGGATTCCCCGCCCCCGCCCACATTTGGCAGCCCTAGCCCACCTATAGCCTCATTACAGCATAAAAAAAGCAATGTATACAAAAGGGAACTATTGCGATCCAACGCATTTCCACTAGGATTGCCAGCTCTGGGTTGGGAAATACCTGGAGATTTTGGGGGTGGAGCCTGAGGAGGGCAGGGTTTGAGGAGGGGAGGGACCTCAGCAGGGTAAATTAAGAACATACGAGAAGCCAATGTTGGATCAGGCCAGTGGCCCATCCAGTCCAACACTCTGTCACACAGTGGCCAAAAATACCAGGTGTCATCAGGAGGTCCACCACTGGGGCCAGGACACTAGAACCCCTCCAACTGTTGCTCCCCCAGCACCAACAAAACAATGCATCACTTGCCCCAGACTGAGAGTTCCTATCAATACCTTGTGGCTAATATACCTTGTGGTCTTTTCCCCCTAATGTAGCTCAAAGCAGTTGGGTAGGCTGTTTTGATCAGGGAAATGGCACCAGGGAAATTAACTCTGTCTTCCTACTGTCACAGTCATAATCTATATATTCCCCTACACTGCAGCTCTTTAGGCTTAAATTTCACATTGGGGGAGCCAGTCACGAGTTCCCAACATAATCAGCAGTATGGGCTTTGGGCGTCAAGATTTTCCATTGCGTTTTGAACACTTATCACAATGGGATCCAGCCTTCAATTATTCACAGCAGTGTGTTAGCTTGTCATATTGTAAAAACAGATATTAAGATGTTGTAATTACTATAATTTTTGCTTGCTTTGTAGATTTTTGCTGGCTTCGTACCTCCAACTATGGACAAAAATGTTAATTTGCTTTTCCTTATTCTGCTGCACACCTCAATTGAGAGCAACGTGGGATGTGTTTGTGACCATTATCCATGGACTGCCTGGTCCAGCTGTTCAAAGACCTGCAATTCTGGGACACAAAGCAGGCACAGGTAAGAACACAGACATGAAGTGGCCTATGACTGAGTCAGACCTTTGGTCTCTCAAGGTCAATGTTGTCTATACTCTCCAGTGTCTCAGGTGGAGGTCCTTCACATCACTTACTACCTGAGCCTTTTAACTGGAGATGCTGTGGACTGAACCTGGGGCCTTCTGTGGGTAAAGCAGATGCTCCACCCTGGAGTTCTCCTAGAGTTACAACCAGTCTCCAGGCTATATAGATGAGCTGCCCTGGGGGAAATGGCTGCTTTGGAAGGTGGAGTCTATGGAATTACATTCCTGCTTCCCAGTCCCCAGGAATTTCCCAAGCCAGTGTTGGCAATGCTACCAAAGCTTCATCCCTAAGTCAGTAACATCATATCGATGCCATTCAGGTTATAGTAAGAGTCCAGTAGCACCTTAAAGACTAACAAAATTTGTGGTAAGGTGTGAGCTTTTGTGAGTCACTGCTCACTTCAGAACCTCTGAAGTATTGAGCAGTGACTCATGAAAGCTCATACTCTACCACAAATTTTGTCAGTCTTTAAGGTGCTACTGGACTCTTACTCTTTGCTACTGCTACAGACAGACTAACACAGCTGCCCATCTTGATAATAGGAGTTTTTAAAATTGGTTTATCTTCTAGGAATGTCTCTTTAGATGTGCTTCCCCCCACCCCATTCTTAAAGAGACCCACCACTGAAGTTCTGTCTTTCTTTGGCACCCGTTTGTTATTCCCAGTGTTGGACCTATTAGCTTGGTTCACATTCCACAGGTCTGCTGTTCTGCCATTACTTGCTGCAGGAAGTCTCTACCAGTGCGATGCAGAGAGTAGAGTGTGCATCTCCTTGAATGCAGGGAAACTCAGCCTTAAATGGACTAATGGGGATTAGTGGCCTTGAGGGTGGACTCAAGGTAACTCAGGCTCTTTGGTGGCCTTGGAGAAGCCACTAATTCAAACTTAATCTTTGGCAGAAATTGTTGCAGAAATACATAATAGCATATGAATTACAGCTGAAATGTGATGGTGGTGCCTAGTCTTTCATCTTGGCAAACCAGAGTAGTCTGTGTGTGCGGGACCTATGGAGGTGTGCTGTGCTTATGCAGTAAACGTATATTATCCATGCTGCCTTCTTCTGTCCACTTACAGTGGTTTCTAGCACTGCCTGCTTAACGGCTTCTCGACAAACGGCAGCCGGGACCAATCCCTGTGTGACTGTCTCCCTGCAGAGCAAGGCAAACATGGGCAGCAATTTCCTGCAGCTGTTGCTATTTACTTCCAATCCCAGGCGAGCAGAGAAGGGAGCCATGGTTAGCGGGAATGGTAACCTGAAGACAGCATCCTGAAGAAACGTAAATGTATGCTCCTGTGATCTTTTCAAATTATAAAATAAGAGCAGCATTGGGAGGGACTGTTTTTGATTTGGAGGGGAAAGAAGGATGCTCAGGTCTCTAATGGTGATCATTTTTCTGCTCCGGTTTGCCCCCAAATCTGCTTTCCTCTCATAAGGATAAGCATGCATTTGGAAACTCATATGGAGACAAGTAGCTGCCCCCTCATGGATCACTGCCTTGTTGTGGCGAGGGGGCTTGCGTGGTTCGATGAAGCTGTGGGCTATGCCGTGGAGGGCCACCCAAGACGGACAGGCCACAGCAGAGAACTCAGACCAAGCGTGATCCCCTGGAGAAGGAAATGGCAACCCACTCCAGTATTTTTGCCAAGAAAACCCCATGGACAGTATCAAAAGGCTAAAAGATATGATGCCGGAAGATGAGCCCCTCAGGTCGGAAGGTGTCCAATATGCTACTGGGACGGCGGAAAACAGGAGGGCCTGGCGAGATCTTGTCCATGGGGTCGCGAAGAGTCGGACTCGACTGTGCGACTGAACAACAAAAGCTGCCTCAAGCAGATCTCTGGAGAGGTATCATTTACTTGGGATTCCCAGGCCCTTGATCTTGTTTCCTGCTGCCCCTCTGAGAGGTGGCGGGAGGAAAATAATGGCTATAGGGCCACTAGCATGACATCATTTCCAGGGGAAAACATGAACGTGACATCAGTCCTCTCAAGGAATTGCCGGGAACTTTATGCTTTAACCGTAGAGTTCCCAGCAATTCAACGAGAAGCGTGACATCACTTCTGGGTTTTCCCCTGGAAGTGATTGTAGACTCACAGAACTGGAAGGTGCCATACAGGCAATCTAGTCCAGCCTCCTGCTCAATGTAGGGTCAGCCTAGAGCATTAGCCTTTTGTGTCACTGCATCACACTGGCTGCTCATATTTAACTTACGGCTCACCCTTACCCCAAGATCTTGTTCGCACACACTGCTACCCAGTAGTATAGAAGTATAAAACAGTATGTCACATTGTCGCTGCCAGCCCGCCCACCCTTGTCCCCCCCAATCTCCCATGGATTGCCAGGCAATGCCTGGTAACTCTACTTATACATATTCTAATCTAAATAAATACAAGTTGGGGGTGGTGATTTTTACTGAGGTGATTTGTAATGAGAAGTTGCCTTCCCTCCTCCCACTGTTAGCAGTCAGACCCCCTCCTCTTGCAGGGGGGCAGTTTATAGGCAGAAACACCTCCCCATATATCACTCTAATATCTTAGTGCAGGGTACTGCTTGGGCCAAAATGCGATGAAAATGGATCCCAGCCAGGCATCAGCCTGGGAAAACAATTTCAAAACGTGAGTCAGCAGTGGCTGGCTGGCTACTACCCCCTCCTTGCCCTGGAGAGATGCATGACTTTAGAACAATGGGTCGCCCCAGACCTATTGATTCACTTAGCATAATCCCATCACCGCTCACTTCCCCATACTCATTATCCCTTGATTAAATGGCAATTAACCAATGCTTAAATCTTTTTACTTTGGGTATTGCCCTCCCTGTCTGGTGCTTATGTAGTCATCCAGTTTTTCATGCCTTTTTGTCATACCTCCAGTTAACCCATTAAGTCATTGTTTTTTGGCAAACATGTCAGCCTTGCCTGAGGATACATTTTGCCCTGTAACTGGATCATCCTGCTGCCCCAGCAGTGTGTGTGCGCGCGCGCACGCGTGCACCTTGGATCCTCTGCATATACCCCCACTTTGTTGGGCTCTCTTCTCTCTTGAAATGCTGGCCATTTTGCTGCTTCTGCAGACCTCTTTAAGATTGGCAAAGGGCTCTTTTTGTAGCAGGTACTCATTTGCATATTAAGTGACACACCCCTAATGTAGCCAATCCTCCAAGAGCTTACAGTAGCTCCTGTAAGAAGAGCTCTGTAAGCTCTTGGAGGATTGGCTACATTAGGGGTGTGTGGCCTAATATGGCTTCCCTAAAATCGCTTTCCCCCTTTCTTCCTTGTGTTTCTCTTAGATAGCCCTTGTGTATGTATTTATTGTGTGCATTTTGTTTTCTTCTTTTTCTTTAAAAAAAATCCTTTCTGGTTGAACATCTGCCTGGTTTATTTTAGAGTTTTCTAAAAAGGGGGAAATCCTGGTATATATAGGTAGAGAATCTCAGTTACCCTCCTCTTGCTCTGTCTCCTTTAGCTAATTCCCCCAACTTAATTGGAGACTGCCTACTTTGGGTAACCCTGCAACTCCTCCACTTAGAAGTATTCCTCTACCAAAACTATTTGTTCACAAATAAAAATGGTGAACTAGCACTTGTTACATTTCATTTACAGAGAGTTGCCAGGTCTGGGTTGGGAAGTACCTGGAGGTTTGGGGGGTGGAGCCTGGGGAGGGGGGGTTTGAGGAGGGGAAGGACTTTAGTAGGGTAGAATACCATAGAGTCCACCCTTCAAGGCAGCCATTTTCTCCGGGGGAACTGATCTTGGTTGACTGGAGATCAATTTTAATAGTGGGAGATCTCCCGCTGCCACCTGAAGGGGGGCAACCCTACATTCATGTGTAATAGTTTGCCCATTTTGTCTCCTCTCATTCCCTTCCTCTTCCTCCTTGTCCAAGAATGGGAAAAATCCAAAGGGCTTCATCAAACTCTTTAGCTAGGGTTTCCAATGTTGGGTTGGGAAATTCCCAGAGATTTGGGGGTAGAGCCTGGGGATGCAGGGTTTGGAGAATGGAGGGAGCTTATCAGGGAGGTGCTGCTGTAGTCCACCCTCCAGAGCAGCCATTTTTTCCAGGGGGACCCATCTCTGTAGTCTGGGGACCACTTGTAATTCCAGGAGATTTCCAGGCCCCACTGAGAAGTTAGCAACCCTCTCTTTAGTGCTGCTCTATCTGATCATGCTCCCAAGCCTCCATTCTTTGTGGGTAAGCATGGCCCCCAGAACCCTAGACCTATCTTTGCGGGGGTGGGGAACAGGGGACTGAGATAAAAAGCTTCTTGCTGCAGCTAATTGCACATTAATCTGAGTCCTTCCTCCCTGCAAGCTAGTAGGCTCCCTGCTGGAAATCTCTTTCATTCTCGTGATAAAGACCCAGAGTCATAATGGTTTTGTTTTTGTTTTGTATTCTAGGCAAATTGTGATGGGTAAACACTCCTGGAAAAATCTATGTAACAGATTTTGCAAGAAACAAGAATCCAGGGCTTGTAACCAGCAGCTGTGTCCTATTGACTGTGAGCTTGGAGACTATGGTCCCTGGTCAGAATGTGACCCATGTCTTAGAAAACAGGTAGGTGCAAAAGTACATTGGGGAGGGAATATGGAGGAGGAGGAGGAGATTGGATTTATACCCTGCCCTTCACTCAGCATCTCAAAGCAGTTTTACTAACTCCTTTCCCTCCCCCTCCCCACAACAGACACCCTGTGAGGTAGGTGGGGCTGAGAGAGCTCTGACAGAAACTGCTCTTTTTCAAGAACAGCTCTGACAGAACTATGGCTTGCCTAAGGTCATCCAGCAGGTGCAAGTGGAGGAGTGGGGAATCAAACCCGATTCTCCCAGATTAGAGTCTGTGCACTTAACCACTACACCAAACTGGCTCTCATTCACATTCTGACCAGAAGGGTAAGCCAGTGGCATATAGGACTAACTAGGCCATTGCATAGGTTCAAGGCAATGTGGGCAAGTGAAGGTTCTCGCGTGTGCAGGAATCTTGGGGTAGATTCAAATAAAGCAGTAGGGTTACATGCATATGAGCACAAGTGAACAGGATTAGCTGTTCTGAGCAAGTCTGTACAGGAGAAAGCATTTTATTCTAATACACATTAAAGTGTTGATGAATTATGCTGTGTTTTCCCACATTAGATTTTCCTGTATACATCAGTAGAGCCTTAACTTGCTAACCTCCAGGTGGGGCCTGGAGGTCTCCCAGTATGTGAACAGGATTAGCTGTTCTGAGCAAGTTTGTACAGGAGAAAGCATTTGATTCCAATACACATTAAAGTGCTGATGAATTATGCTGGGTTTTCCCACGTTAGATTTCCCTGTATACATCAGTAGAGCCTTAACTTGCTAGCCTCCAGATGGGGCATGGAGATCTCTTGGAATTACAACTGCTCCCCAGATGAGAGAGATCAATTCCACTGGAGAAAATGGCTGCTTTGGAGGATCTATGGCCTTATACCCTGCTGAAGTCTTTCCCTTGCCCAAATCATGATCCCCCCCCCGGAAATCCCCCTCAGATCTCCAGGAATTTCCCAACATTGGGTTGGCAACCCAGTAACACCTTGTTTTATTTACGTCGCATACATGTATGCACTGGTAGCATATACTGAGGCTTGAATATTGATGGGGTGCCAGCTCTGGGTTGGGAAATACCTTGAAATGTTGAGGGCAGAGCCTGAGGAGGGTGGGGTTCGGGGAGGGGAGGGAGTTCAATGGGGTATAGTGCCATACAGTCCACCTTCCAAAGTGGCCATTTTCTCCAGGTGAACTGGTATCTGCTGCCTGGAGATCAGTTGCAATCCCAGGAGATCTCCAGCCACCATCTTGGCAACCCAAGATCCAGGGGGCCCTCAGGAACAGGTTTCAGGGTGCATTTTGGGCTACTGTGGGAGGAGCAAGGTAGAAAAGTTGCACTCTGTGGGGTGTTAGGGTTGCCAGCCTCTAGGTGGTAGCTGAAGATCTCCTGAGGTAACAACTAATCTCCATTTGTGACAGTTTACATGGAGAAAATGGCTGCTTTGGATGGTGGACTCAATGGCATTATACCCTGCTGAGGCCCCTCCCCTCCCCAAATCCCGCCCTCTTCAGGCTCCACCCCCAAAATCTCCAGGCATTTCCCAACTTGGAGCGGTTGGAAATCTTTTTGCCCTTGAAAAGGCTGGTCTGGACCCAAGCGCACTATATAAATGCTGAGTGTTATGAAGTGTTTCTTGACCAAAAAAACCAAGGAGGAACTATCTTACCACTTTATATAAAGCTAGTGGCAGACACCATTCTCGGTGTTTTTTCAACTGCCTAGAGGAAATTCCCTCCTCTGAACTGAATTAAGGCCTTATTTTACCTTTCAGTTTCGCGTCAGGACCCTGACCCGGCCCTCTCAGTTTGGAGGAAAGCCCTGCAGTGAACAGCTGGTAGATGCCTGGGAGTGCTCTCCCACCAAAGTTTGTAGCACAGAAGAAATAAACTGTGAAAATAAATTCCGCTGTGAAAATGGTAAGTTCTTGTTTGCCTTGGTTTTCTTGGGCTAAGAGTAAAAATAATGTAATGCTGTTTGTTGAAAAAAACAGGCACTCTTGACCTGCTTGGCGATGAACAGCAAGAGAAAATATGAAGTATTTAATGTAATTATGATTAATATAAGAGGGTTTTTTCGTAATGCTTTTTCTTTCTAGTTCCTACTGGCAAGTATCTATTTTAATAGCCAAAGTCCTTTCTCTGTGTGATACTTATTTCCACCAACAGAGGGCTCACTCCCCCCAACAGCTTTTTCTATAGACTCAGGGGACGCTCTAGGACTGCAAAAAAATCCAAAAAGTTATTTAAAAGCTTGGGGGCTGGCGTCCCTAGGCACCACCCTTTGGGTGACTTGATATAACCTGATTTGCATCACTCAACAAAGCCTGGCTGCTTGCTACTCTTCAACAGCACCCACCCTATAAAAGCCAGTGTGGTGCAGCAGTTAGAGCTTCAAAGAAGGGTCTGCAAGACCCAGGTTCAGATCCCCATCTTTCAGTGGAAGCAGACTGGGTGATTTTGGACCAGTCACATACTTTTCACAGGGTTGTTTTGCAGATAAAAAGGAGAGAATCATGTAAGCTGTTTTGGTCCCCACTGTGGAGAAAGACTGTAATTTTCCTAGGTAGAGGCTGTGGGGGAGAGGGTGGAGAGAGAAAACTGAAGACAGAGAGGCGGATAAAGGTAGGTTGGCTGATGGGTGGGAAGGAAATAGGGTTGCCAACTCCAGGTTGGGAAATTCCACTGCCCCATCCCCCCCACCAGCAGCAGCCCTGGCTTGAGGGGGGGACTGATCCTGTCTCTCCCAGATCCCTCCACACCAAATTCTCATTCCTCCAGCATTTCTCACAGAAGAAGGGTGGCTGAGGGGGAGGCCTGATGGAGAGGCTGTTTCCAGAAACTTCAGGGGGCACTTTTTATCCTCCTGTGATCCCTTTTCCGTCACAGACTGAGAAAAGGTGGGGGGGGATAGGGGAGCTTGCCGTCCCCCACCAGCCCTGACACTCAATCTGCCCCCCTCCTGTGCAGCTGTTCAGATGTGTGGTGACAACAGCGGCACCCCTTTCCCCCTCCGCTCCTCCACTCATTTCCAAGATTGGGACATCTTTCCCCTCAGAACAACATGCACAAGATGGCCCAGTGGCCTCCAAATCCATGCACCAGCCCTCCTCCTCCTCCTCCTCTCTCCCCTACCAGCCCCGTCCCTTCTTCGGCAAACCGACGTTCCGTAGGACTTCTTTTGCCAACCCCCCTCATGATCTCTGTTTGAAAAAACATGAAGCCGGTTGGTGCGGCGGTAGTAGTGCTGGATGTTTGCCCTGCCCCATGTAGTGGCTTCACCAGTCCTCACTGAACTGTGGTCGGAGGAGGCAATGGGAGGGAAGAAAACACCATGCCTCCTCTTTCTCCACCTGCACTGCCATCCCCCCCCTTTACCTCAGCCTCTGAGCCCTGCCCCCTAGCCATTTCCTTTCTATTTCTTGACAGCTTCAACCACACACACCTCACACCGCATGCACCCGCTCCCACCCGCTCCCACCCCCAGCAGCCTTCCTTGCACCAGTTGCTTGCAGGCTGGATAAGAGCCCTGGATGGGCTGGTTCCAGCTTGCGGGCCATATGTTTGACACCTCTGCCCTACAGGGTCGCCATGAGTCAGCCTTGGCTTGACAGCACTTTCCACCACCAAGCTCATTAACTTCAACAGACTTTGAAGGGTGTAACTCTGCTCAGGATAGTACTGTTAGAACAGTATAAATATGGGCTACAAATATTTTAAATCCGTGATCTTCAACCCACTGTTCCCAACATTTGTGGTCCACAGTCCATGGTCCTAGCCTTGGCACTGGTGAGATCATAACTTTGGCCCACCAGCCTCCTGTCACTTGACTCTAATGAGATGTGCTTGCAGCTCAGAGGGTTTGGGGGTCTGTTAAATGAATGTCAATTCTGAAGAAGGACTAGATGTTAAGAATAATTCCCCCGTCTACAAAATGATGCAACTCTTAAGGAAAGAAAAACCTTCTTGTTAGGGTTTCGCAGGGTCTGTAACTCCTGTGGCTGGGGAGAAAATAACCTTGCTGATATGCTGGTGTTTCCTTGCAACAGGTCGCTGCATCACTCGAGGCTTGGAATGCAATGGAGAAAACGACTGCGAGGACAATTCTGATGAAAGGGACTGTGAGCACATCCAGCCGGTTTGCAACACAACACACGAGGCCATTCCTGGTGTACAACTAATGGGCCTTGGGTAACACGTTCTTTCTTGCCTCTCTTTATGTGCAGGATATTTATGTCATTTACAGGCCCATCTAAAAAGAAGGCAGCACAGCAGGGGGCATAGGCAGCCACTAGGGTTGCCAGCCTCCAGGTGGTACCTGGAAAACCTTTACTATTACAACTGATCTCCAGATAATCAAGATCAGTTCCCCTGGAGAAAATGGCTGCTTTGGAGGGTGGACTCTATGGCATCATACCCTGCTGAGGCCCCTCCCCTCCCCAAACCCCGCCCTCCCCAGGCTCCACCCCCAAAATCTCGAGGGATTTTCCAACCCAGAACTGGCAACCCTAGCAGCTGTAGTAGGGATGCCAGACCGTTCCCCCTCCCCAGTGGGGGCAGGGGTCTTCTGCTGCCAGGCCCCACCTCTACACTGCTAACTACATTGTCGGGGGGGGGATTATTTCCTCTCCCCGAAAGGGAGGAAGGGCCAGCATTTCAGTAACATGCCTACGTGATCTGGAAGTGACGTAGGCACATTGAGGATGATGCTCTAGTTTTTGGTTAAAAACTCTCCGGTAGAAGCTAAAACCACATTGTTTCCGGGTCACGTAGGCACGTTGCTGAAATGGTGTTCCTCCCTGCTCCTGGTAATTGCACCCCCATCCCCTGCCGGCTGCTCGAAAGGGACTAGGCAACCCTAAGCTGCAGTTGACACCAGTGTTCTCTCTAAGCTGAGTTAGTGTGAGCTAGCTCACAGTTTTGTAGCCTCCGGCTCACATATTTTGTCTTAGCTCAGGAAGGATGGCTCAATACATTTTAATGTATTTTTATATATGTTGTTAGCCGCCCTGAGCCGGCCGAATGGCGGGGAGGGCGGGATATAAATATAAATTAAAAATAAATAAATAAATAATTGATGCGGTAGCCAAATCGCTCGCTCACAACTTTAATGCCAGTAGCTCACAAAGTAGAATTTTTGCTCACAAGACTCCACAGCTTAGAGGGAACATTGGTTGACACCACAGCAAATCACTGGAAAGGTTGCAGGGGAGGAAGTATTTTCTGAAGACTGACTTCCAAATCATGGTTAAGGGAGAATGCAGGGCTCTACCTTGTATTGAATCAGACCATTAGCCTTTCAAGGTCAGTGTTGTCTACTCAGACTGGAAGCTGCTCTCCAGGGTCTCGCGAAAAGGTCTTTTGTCCCCCCACCCCAATAATTGGATGCCAGGGATTGAATGTGGGACCTTCTGCATGCAAAGTAAATGCTCTATCATTGACTCACAGCCCGTCTCTGTGTGTGTGTGTGTTGGGGAGAGCAGTGTTTTTTAATGCACTGAGCTTCATACAAAATAGAAGACATTCATAATACCCATAAAGCCTAAAAATCTGTTCTGACATAAGCCTGGGAAAAGATGAGAAGATGCATTCCAGTAAATAAGCTTCTTGTTTGTTCACTTATATTCTGATAAATGTTCTAGGTGATCTATTCAGAAGTCCCATTGATTTTTCCAAGGGGCGCCCTTCTGGTAGATAAATATGTTTGGGAACACTGCCTTTTGTATTTCTTTTTCTCCAAAGGCAACTTATTATTCCAGCAGGGAGGAAACCTTGACCAGCTGCGGAGCTCGTGTTGTGTGTGATTGCTGGACTTCCTGAAGTGTTTTTCTTTCTCTAGATTTCATCTCCTTGCAGGAGAGAACCGAGGAGAAGTCCTTGGGAATTCATTCAATGGAGGCAAATGCAGACTGGTCAAAAGCAAAGATAAAAAGAAAACGTTTCGTGTCCCTGCAAACCTGGAGGCTGTCAGCTTTCAGGTAATAGCCAATAGATATTACTCTCCAAATCCTGGGTACAAAAGCATCAATGTTTATTTATTAATTAAACCACTTACATTTTTTAATGTTTTGAAACCCCCACAGTTCCTTTTGTGCTCAAGGCAGCTTACAAAACAACAGGTAAAACATTACCAATTAAAGCCAATAGAATTAAAGAGCCTGATTGTTTCCCTCAAATGCCTACTGGGCATACTCCATCAAAGGCTCTTGGGAAATAGGTGACCCTTGCAAAAGAATGGCTTTTTAAGGTGGGCGATAGCATATCTAGGTTTAACAAAGAAGTACTGGTAGTTTTCTGCTTGTGTGCAGTGTTCCCTCTAAGCTGAGTTAGTGTGAGCTAGCTCACAGTTTTTCAGCCTCCGGCTCACACATTTTTTGTCTTAGCTTAGGAAGGATGGCTCCAGAGCAAGCTAATTTATGCAGTAGCCATATTGCTTGCTCACAACTTTAATGCCAGTAGCTCAGAAAGTAGAATTTTTGCTCACAAGACCCCACAGCTTAGAGGGAACATTGCTTGTGTGGTGTTTCACACAGGCACTGGTAGAATCTGTCTGCCGTAGGGTTGCCAGGTCTTACCATTGTTGTGGCGGGAGAGTCCTGGGCCCTCTCCGGGACATCTTTGGCTCACATGCACCGCAATGACTTCACCTGGAAGTGATGTCATTGCATCGGGCTTGTTGGGCGCAGGGCCACTATCATTCAAGGGGGGAACATAGAGTTCTCCCTCAAATGATAGAGCGTCCCCCTGCAACGTGCCCTGTTGCTGTGATCCCGGCACTTTGGGGGTGGGGTTCCCCCAGTGGCCGGATTCAGGCTGGCGGGTAATGGGCCCATCGAGCGGGCGAGCCCCTCCCCGGGACCTGGTAACCCTAGTCTGCTGATATAGAAACCTCTAAGCATTTTTAATAAAGCAACCTTCATTTTTAACAAAGCAATCAACCTTGACACAGAGAGTACTCCATCTTTCTGTGTTATACCTCTGAGGATGCCAGTCACAGCTGCTGGCGAAACGTCAGGTCCTACAATGCCAAGACCACGGCCATACAGCCTGGAAAATCTACAACAACTAATGAACTCCGGCCGTGAAAACCTTCGGCAACATATTCAATCTTCTAGTTATCATGATTGCAAGCAGGGGTCATTTCCTGCAGGAGCGCACAGGAGCAGAGCTCCGACAGTAAAGAGTCCAGGGGGCGGGCACATGCAACAAGCCCCACCCCCTGCTCCCAGCAGCCCTCAGTCAGAGCAAGAAGCAGCCAGGTAAGTTGCAGAGCCCCCCTCCCTGGCCCAAAACAGTCCAGTGGCACCTTTAAGACCAAGTTTTATTTAGGTAAAAGCTCTCCCTCCTCTGCGAGGACAGATCTGCACTCTCCCCACCCCCCCCAATAGCTAGCAATCCAAAACAGTCCAGTGGAGCCTGAGTGGTGGGTGTTGCCTTCTGACACACTTCAGGTGATGTCAGGGGGCGTGGTATATGCAAATAAGTTATGCTAATGAGTGGTGCTAATGAGCTTCTGCACCTCTTTTTCTACGAAATGGCCCCTGATTGCAAGGATATATTTATGACTTGTAGACAGTCTGTAAAAGGCACCATTGTGAAGAATCACTGGCCTGATGCTGCATGTTTGCCTTGTGCTGTGCTCTTGCCAATCTCCTACCCTCTCCTGTCCTCCATCATAACATTGTTGCTCACAAGAGGGGAGGGAATGCCAGAGTTTTAACATCTCCCTCTTCTTCTTCAAACCCCCCCCAAAAAATAAAGTAACTCCTTACTTTAGTCATGCAAGGCAGATTTGCATGTACATAAGAAGAGCCCTGCTGGGTCAGACTAGTGGCCCATCTAGTCCAGCATCCTGTTTCACGCAGTGGCTGACCAGTTGCCCTGGAGGTCCAACAACAGGGTGCATGTTTGTTGTGAATGCAGAATTTCTTGGCCAAGACTTCTCTCTGCTTTAATACCAAAGAAAAACTAAAATACAGTGGCCATAGTAACATGATGACTCTTCTAAACCATGTGCTGCTAGTGATATATGTGTCCCTGGTCTATAAGTTTCTGTTGATTCGTTTTTGTACCAACTCCCACTACTCAGATCCTTCAAGATTTATTTTCTTTTGCTGATTTCAAAGTGCCAAAAGCTGATTTATGGCAATCCTGTAGGGTTTTCAAGGCAAGAGACATCCAGATGTGGTTTGCCATTGCCTGACTCTGTGTTGTGACCCTGGTATTCCTTGGTGGCCTCCCATCCAAATACTAATCAGGGACGACCCAGGTTAGCATCTGAGATCTTTGCTGCACACAGCTTTTGTCCTTCAGCATAGTACCTTTCCAAACTCTCAGGAACAGGTTAATTGTCTAGTTTTTGAAAAGTGTTTGGTTTCAACTTCTTCTTCTTTCTTTCTGTTTGCTTCCCAATGGGGAATTTTTTAATTGCATTTTTATTAAAACTACAAACTATAATAGAAATAAGGGAGGGGACTACATTTAGGGGATAAAGAAAAGATACCCACTACTGACTAAAAACTCAAGAG